AGAAAAGGGTCCCTTTCCAGAGTGCTTGAAAAATTGGCCCACCACACATAATTGGTATGGCCTCAGGGCCATGCCCAAGCATACAGCAGCCCCAACCTCATATACCTCCGATTTTGCATCATTTCCTCCGAGACAACACACGCCGAGAGCCAGATATAGGGGGTAACAGTTTATTGAGCGAATAAAGGTTGCCGTCCATGCAGACGGGAAGTTATATTCTCAAATACAATTGTGGAATGCATATCTTTCTGCTTGACATGCAATGTCTCGCCAGGGTCCAACAAGCTCTTCCGGCTGCTTCTATATCTCCCGGCGTGGGAATATCTAAGGGGTCGATGAAAATCTCATACTGTTACTGGACATGCCGAATGTCAGGGCGACGATCAGGCTACGGCACCACATACCTCATTGCACTTAATCGTTGACTGGCGTCAATCGTTGATTGCCGTTGTCCTTGGGACGTTGGCTGCTGTGAATGCACTATTAATGAAAACATGACTGACATCGTTGCCTATTCTAGGACTGGTTCATCTGAATCATTGATATAAAAGCCACTTGTCTCTCGACGTGGATTTGATCTTTGAATCACCAGCACTTCTTCCATCTAAGAAACTCTTTATCAGTCTCTTCACTGAGCCTTATTCATTCAACTCATCAATTCGTGAAGTGTGAGTTCTAACCATTCCGTTACCGAGACATCCCCTGATGATCGTGGCCCCCTTCACAGGGTTATTCCTCTGCACTCCACATTCCGCAGCACTAGCCTAGGGGTGAAGACGTTGACTCGTACTTCATCTCTTCGTTGGTATCCAACAGAATCCTTGTTCACCGGATCATTCCTGCCTAGATGCCAGTCTTGCCGTCACGGTAAGGGTTGCATTGTGCCCTCTGCCTGAAGGCTCTTTTCTGGGTTAGTATTTCTCCGGGGGTGATGACCCTTTCTATCTCCTGGATGGGTATCAGCATACATCTCTACATTCTACTTTGTTGTTCTTTTCCCTCTTTACGCTCTCTTGCTTTGCCGTCACCTAGACGTTACAATCTTTTAATCATTTCTCTTTACACTGGCCTCCGCTAATATTAATTTCTTTCAGCCTTACCTTCGAAGACTTCCTCCTCGGACCTCCCGGCCACCTTTTCCCAGCATTCGAACTATTGTTTACGCTGATCCACTCATTAATCGTTACAATCTTTCCGTCATTCATTCCATTACACTAATACCACGACTGTCACTCTCTTAATTCCGTCGTTGCCTGATCGACCTGTTCTTCAGGCTTCCTATCATTGAAACTCGGCAAAACCAAGCTCATTCATCAACTTGTGCTTCATACTTCGGTTGATCCAAGTACTTCCGCAATCATGGATTACCATCGCAACTACCGTCCTTGCCCCACCTTCTTCGTGGAAGAGGACTATGGCATGGAAAGTCGGATTCGGCAAGAACGGCAGGCGAAGCAGGAGCATGACAAGCAGATGGCTCGTGAGCGTCAGTATGTTATGGCAGATGAACTGTCTAATCTCACAAGTGAGCAGCTTCGGGACGATGTCCTGAGTCACATGTTGGAAATGGATGTAAGTTTGATCAGATCTGAGCTTTCCGATGTTGACAAGTTGTTAACCTTATCATCGCATAGAACCAAACCCTGCCCGACGTCGAGTCCATTGACATTCAAACCGAGATCCAGTGGTTCATGCGACCGTACCTTCTTGACTTCTTGATCGAGGCCCACACTGCGTTCCAGCTTCTGCCATCCACCTTGTTCTTGGCGATCAACCTTTTAGACCGATACTGCTCCAAGCGCGTGGTCTACAAGCGTCACTACCAGTTGGTTGGCTGTGCAGCTCTACTCATTGCGGCCAAGTACAATGACAAGAAGGATCGTGTTCCCACTATCAAGGAGTTGAAGTCGATGTGCTGCTCTCTTTACGATGACGATATGTTCACCCAGATGGAATGGCATGTCCTTCAAACCCTTGGCTGGTCCATTGGACACCCGACTGTGGATGCTTTCTTGCAGCACGCTGTTCTGGATGATGCTTACGACCCCGAGGTGGAACACATGGCTCTGTACATCCTGGAGATCGCCTTGTTCCACCGGGATTTTGTCGCCAAGCTATCATCTGAGCTCGCTCGTGCCGCTCTTGCATTGTCGCGCTGCATTCTTAACCGACCGCAGCCCCGTCACACTCATTGGTCATCGCAGTATGACTCAATGACTCTTGTTGCCTTGTCTCAGCAGTTGCACCAGCCCTCCACCGTTGTCGCCCGCAAGTACGCCTCCGCTCACTACTCTCGTGTCTCGAAGGTCATGGAACACTTCCTCAACCGCCAGGCTTCGTTGGCAACCTACGCCCGTTGCACCCCTCCGGTCGAGACTCCTATCGAGTCCAAGCCGTACAATGGGGAGATTGGCCTGGCCACCCCTCAGAAGTCCCAGCAGTTGACAGCTATTCCTCACGGTTACCTCACTCCTCCCATCACGCCCGACAACGAGGCACTTGTGCATGCTCATGCACAGATGGCGAATCACGATATGACCCGCGGAATTCCCAGTGTCCACCATGGCTGTTCCCCTTCTCCCGCTCCATCCGCTGAGATGCAATACATGAACAGCGAAGCATACCAGCAACAGCAGGAGGCTATGTACATGGCTCAGCAAGCAGCACTCCAGCAGTTCCCAATGGCACCCACCCACATGGGAATGGGCCAGACCTATCAGGGTGGGATGTAATAGAAACAACGGAACGAACAGCAATCCAAATGTTATTTGGTCATTGCGCATATTTCCAGCACTTGATTTCATTTCCTCTCATCATCATAGAATGACTCCAAGGAGCATTTGATTCCGCATTGGTTCACCTCGATATCCCATCTTAATATTCAATGCGCCACATCAGCTGTGTCCACCTGTGCCATATTCCCCGAACTCGACTACATCCACTTTCGTCCTTTACGCTTTGCATTCGGCTCTGGTTCTGCGGAACCAGGGTCGAGACCAGCCCTTCACTTCATGTTCCAAAAATTGCATACCCATTTGCTACCTATACCCATTATTCCTGGGTCATCAGTTGCACTTGATTTAACCATCTAGCATTGCGAGCGCGAGCCATGTTGATTTATTTGTTCTCAAGAATACATTTTTTGCTGTTTTTCCACTCCCCTCGTCATATTAACTTCTCTTCTATCTGTCAAGGAATACCATACACCCTTGACACTTTGTATTTCTGCGCGCCAATTGGCGCTGCGTTTTTGATATCCCCATTCCCCCTTCCCTCAACGATCTTTAGCAGCTTGTCTGCCTTCCCAGTCGCACCCCCATTCCCCAACCCCACCCCTTCGCCCTCGAAATCCCCTCCAAACCCGTTTTTCATGTGCCTCGCTCCTCACGTTGGCTCTTGTGCGCAACGTGCATGATTCCGCCTCCTGTCTGATGACATCCGGTCGTCTCACGTGCCAGGAGAGCAGGCTCAGAGGTCACAAAAAAAAGCAAAAAAAGTGTGAAAACCCGGAAAAAATTCTACGTCTTCTGGGGAGGAAAGGCCACCGAGTCCATATTTGGTTGGACTCCAAAGGTGCCTTTTCTTTTCCCTCTGCTCTCCTCTTCCTTTGTATCTAGCCTTTGACATATGCTCTGGACGTCTGCCGTCATCCAATACTGGAGACGGGACGCCAGGCGACTTTTTCTTTTATCTCTTTTGGATCTGAGAATGGGGTTGTCGGTTTCGCCGCTTGGCCCTGAATTATATCCCATTTTCAGTGAACTTTTGGATATTGTAGAGTTGTAGTCTTTGGTCTTGTAGAGTACTGTGGTCTCCCCTTTCCTTTTTAGGATTCCCCGTCTGCGAACTACTGCGTAGTAACCGTGGTCCTATCTCATCAATGAACACGCGGAACCAACATGTTGCTCTCTCTATGCTGCTCTTCTGACTATCAGCTTCGATATCATTCCCTTGCTCTGAATACGTTGATACTGTTAGCCCTCTGTTCTGTTGCTATACTTTCTACTACTACTACTCCGGTGCTCTGACAACGGCTCATATATATTTTACTGTGATCGAGGCTTATCTGTATAATAAATGGACCAACTTTGTCCGAATGACAACTAACACTATATTTTAAATGGAAAGACGCCAAGTTCGTTTAGATTTGCTTGCAGAATAAGGTTTGGAATATATATTTACCTAGGTATATTTGCAATCCAATGCTAGGAAAGGCATACGTGTTTCAAAAGGAGATCGAACATGAATTGACAATCCAATTATTTATATATCTTCCGACATAAAAGAACCATAAATAAAGTGAATAGTAGATTAAATAATAAAATAATGATATTTCTCTTGAGAATACAATTTCGCTCATTCGCAATAAATCCCGATCCAGCAGATCCAATAATACCCACGCTATGCATCGCAACAAAAGAAAACAAATAAGAGGGTGTCTACCCAATTAGCCACAACATGACCATGCAGCTAGCTGCCAGGTAACAATGCGGAGAGGCAAACACGTATTCAACAGTAACCAGTAGAGTTGGAAGGGTAGAAAGTAAAAAGGAGAGAGTAGAGAGAGAAGAGAAGACCAGTGAAACAAGCAGCAAAACGCCTCACAAAATACTGATACAAGGGGAAGAAGAGTGGAGACGCGAAAATCCGGGGAGACGCAGGGATTCAGAGTGAAAAAGGGAAAACGGCACAGTCCCGAGAATCCGAGAGATCAGAAGAATAAAGTCGCCCGATCTGGTCAGGGGGGAAAAAAGAGAAAGGGAGCGAAAAAAAAGGGGATATTGGCGTCCAATGATCTCCCCAAATCATCTTTGTCGATCATCGCCTCACTTTTCTTTTGTTGGTTTTTTTGGTTTTCTTTTTGGTCTGGACCTCTTTTTCGTGTTTGTAACGCGCGTGTAAAATGAACCCGTTTATCCGCGTCTCCTTCGATCCCAACCTACGTATGCAGCAATTGAGGCAATGCATACGTAGGCAAGTGTTGCCAAGTAAAGAGACAACTACTTCCAGCGTTGTTTGTCCCAGTCAGACGGCCGCGTCTCGTCGTAGATTCGGCCGCCCTTGTTGTGTATGACCACCGGGGGTTTGCGGATGGGATTGGTTGCTAGGGTCTTGCATTAGCTCGGGCTGGATCTGGAGATCGGGACAGGGATGTGGTGGACTTGACATACTCAGATTCCGGACTTCGGTGGCTACCTGGTCGTTGCTGCTGCCTCTGCTGGCTAGTGTGGAGTTGGAGTTGTTCACTTTGTGTGGCATGGTGAATGGAATAGTAGGAGGAATGGTTTGTGGTTTGTGGTTTGTGGTTTGAGGATGGAGATGGAGATGGATAAGAGGGATATTAGGGTATTAAAAGAGATCGAAGTAGAAAGATAGAGATAGAGATAGAGATAGAGATCGAGGTAAAGAGGTAAAGAGGTAAAGATGAAGAGGTATGTATAGAAAGCGTGAGGCACACAGTGTTGAACTGTGAGCAGATTATAAGGACAATAAATAGGATATAGACACAAGATAAAGAACAAAAGTATAGAAAAAGACAATAGTGCGATGTTGTTGATAATGGCTGTTTGGATGATGAAGTTGATTGAGGGCGACTGACTTCTTTTTGTATAGCCCATTGAGCTTCAACCGATCTACACTCTGGGGAACTTGTCAGAGGTCAAGAGCTCGGAATGGATCACCCCTGACGTATTTGGTGCCTGGTAATTACGAGGCTGCCACGATTGAAGTGTTGATTGGCTGAGAGGGTCGATGGAAAGGCAGGGCAGCCAGTGAGGAAGCAGAACAGTCCAAAGTTACTAGAGGATTGTCCTATATTGTAATATTACTGATGAGTCAGCCATTCCTGACCCACTAGACTAGACTATTTACGGAATTGGACTGGTCGTGTAACTAAAATAACTAAAATAACCCAAACTGAAAATAACTGGAAAATAACTGAAAATGACCGAAAATAGTAATATTTAATGAATGCGTTGGGGGAATTCCTCGCTTCCCTCTCTCACCGCTAGGTTTTATCTGCTGCGCCAATGGCGGCTGTACACAAGTGCGTGTATATACTCCGGATACTAGCCCTGGAGATATGGTGAAATGACGAAATAACCAGGGGCTATTGATTCCCATTCACCGCAATTGTAACTCCACTGCGGTCCAGAATCTCAGCTCTCAATTATTATTCCATATTGACACTCATTTTTTAGTCAATAATCAGAAGCCTGCCTAATCGTATTAGGCTTATTAGGCTCCATCGGAAGATCTGCCCGCCCCAATTCATACAGGGTCATGCCATGGGGAAAACACTTGTAGTAATTATGAAATTTTAGGTACATATACATCTCCCTATACAGCAATGCATAAACAAGTCATAGTCTACTCAGCACGGCATGGATATGCGTCATTCCACCCAGACCGAGATTCTGGCCCTGGAGTCAACCCTTTCCTGGTCAATCACTTTCCAAGCTAAGTATACCCCGGGCTTCCCCAGCAACGCCTAAACCAGCAATGAGCTTGCGAAGCGTGTGGATTGCCCCTTCTGACATGGTCCCGTGGACACAGACAACCCATCCCGTCAGGATTCTAGACCAGCCCCCGAAATCGTAAATCGTGTCAGCTCGACTATCCACCGCCCTCTCGCTTCATCCGGTCTTGCCACCCGTTCATGCTCCGCCGAATTCCCAACGTCCGTCGCGGTGCTTGTTGCACCATTGACATCGTCGTGCTGTGGAACGTCGTTACGGGCTGGAACCCGCGGGTGGAGCTCTCGGGTTTCACCTCGTCTGCCCCGGCTCTTCCGCCTGAAGTACTGTTACTCTGTTCCTGCGTCATCGACGTCCTGGCAGGTTTCAGGGTTGGTTTTGATGGAGCTGCCAGCCACGTGTAGCCGTTGGGGTTCGTAGGCTCCAGTGTCGGCCGCGTTGGAATAAGTGGCCGGGGCTGGACACGGTGAGAGGAGAGAGTAGCTGGGACAATGCTTCTTGCCCCTGAGCGTTGGTCTTGCGAAGGTACCCCTTCGTATCTTCGGGATGGTGGTGGCTGTGGATGGCTAGACAGAACCGGCTCCCTCTTCTGGGATGATCCTGGGCCTGCAAAAAAGTTGGATATGCTTGCTTGAGTTAGTCCGTCTTTACGGCCTGCACTGCTGAGAGGTTTCGGTTTGTTCGCCCCAGCTGCATCTGCATCTGCACCTGCCGGGGGCTTTGAGGCTGACTCCGCGGGGGGTTCAGGGTTGGCCGCTATGTAATCCCGGGCAGACGTAAAACCCGATGAAACGGTTGTAGGAATGGTAAACCCGGTCGGATTATTCATGGTATACCCAGCCGATGACATGTAGGTAGTCGATTTTGGCCCCTGGTTCATGTCTGACCGCCGTCGCTTTGGATTGGGCTCGCCAGAAGCGTCATGGGAGGTAGATGTGCTATCGGATTTGCTGTGGTCCTCCTCGCCCTCGGGCGTCCATCGGTCGTCCAGCGTCGATGGAACGAACTCGAGCCCCTTGTACATGTCATCTAAAGATGGCCGAGGGCGACGCAGAATATCGGCAATTGCATATACCACCTTCTCATGAAGGGACGGCCCCGTTGGCCGAAAGCGCGTTTTGGTCAACTTAGGAGGAAGGAATGGTGTCAATGTGGTTGCACCATCTTCTCCTTCTCCTAACCGGGGTTGACGAATAGGGATACTCAGGTATAACAGGGCCTGTGCTCTGGTCATTGCGACATACAGCAATCGTCTCTCTTCTTCCACCACCTCCGCACGCGAGTGAGGAATGCTCCCGTTGTATACTGCGGGAACAAACACGACTGGCCACTCCAGGCCTTTGGCAGCGTGGATAGTTGAAATAGTGACTTTCTCCGACGGTTGGTCTCCCTCTTTGCTTTCTTCTTTGGTTGTGATCTCCGTAGCCAAGGCGACATTTGCCAGGAACCGAGTGAGAGCCTCCTCGCCAGAATGTGCCTGCTGTTGCTGCACACCTTCGATTTCAGGGAGATCCATTTCTTTATCAACCTCCTCCTCTTCAAATGCTGCGACTTCATTGGCTTGGTGCATCAATTCCCTGACATTCGCCCAGCGACTGTCTTCGTCAAGGGGATATGTTCTGATGAGATACTCCTGGAACGAGAGACGTTCGGTAATGAACTCAATCAGAACACGTGGAGCGGATGCATCCTCACAATCTTGCAACTTCTGTCTAGAGGCTTCAATCAAATTGACCAAAGTGCAAAGTCCCTGCTCTGCAGCCTTTTGCAATTTCTTCTCAGTCGAACGGCGCCCTTGGATGACATCCTTGATGAAGTTCCACAGTGGAATTTTGGCCTTCTCCGCACCACTAGTCAATTGCTTGATTGTCTCATCACCAACCCTTCGTGGCGGAACATTCACAATATTCATCAACGCGTCCGAATGCTCCGTGTGGCTCACAACCCTCATATAGTTGAGGAGGATTTTGACTTCAGTCCGGTCGAAGAATTTCCGGCCGCCAACCATCTTGTATGGTATACCGGCCCTTCCAAAGGCCGTCTCAATCTGTGTAGACAGCGAAGCCGATCGAAGCAGGACAGCAAAGTCAGACATGCGCAATAGACCGCCGGTCATCGCCGCACAACGCTTAATCTCAAGTACCATCCACTGTGCCTCTGCATTGGGATTTGGGAGCTTTCTCAGCACCGGCAAGGTCCCGAAAGAGTGCGTCGCTTGGAGAGCTTTCGCAGGCCGACTCGTATCCTGCTCGATCACTTCTTGAGCTGCATTCAAGATAGAAGCCGCAGAGCGGTAATTATCTTCCAAGAGTACAACCGTCGTGTTTGAATATCGCCGCTGCATCCGCTTGAGATTCTGGATCTCCGCAGACCGAAACCCGTAGATGCTTTGATCCGGATCTCCGACAATGGTGATCCGTCGGTTCTTAGCCGCAAAGAGGTTCATCAGTTCATATTGTATGATGTTGGTGTCCTGGAACTCATCCACCAAGACTGCCTGCACATTCGAGACACATTCTGGGTGGTCTCGGAGCAGGTCTCCACATCGTAGAAGGAGGTCATCATAATCCAAGAGATTGGAGGCCGCCAGTGCTGATTCGTATTCACGATAGATATCAACAAGCTCCAACTCTTCTGCTTTAGCCCTATCAGCCAGGGCATCAGGACTGAGTCCATGTGCTTTGTGTCGAGAAATCCGGCCTTGCGCCGCCTTGACTTCAATGCTCGACTTCAGTCGTTTAATTGATCTCTGCGGCCGACAATTAGAGAAGAGAAACAAACTGGTACAACATAAAAGTGCTAATCATACTCTAATAATTGCGCGGGTATCATCCGAATCGGCAATGCCAAACCCCTTCCGCAGGCCGATCAAGTATCCGTACTTGACCAAGTAGCGACGACAGATGGAATGGAAAGTGCCGAGGATCAAGCGGGATTCGAGTTTTTCTCCGATGAGTTTTGCGAGCCGCTCCCGCATCTCACGGCTGGCTTTAATAGTGAACGTGCAGCAGATCACATCTTGCGGTTGGTATTTGTGGTGTGAGAGGAGGTACGCGACGCGTGCGGTCAATGTTTTTGTCTTGCCTGAGCCCGGTGGTGCGAGTACTTGCAGGATTGAGCCAGATGAAGTGACAGCTTCTCGCTGGGCATGATTTAAGCCATCTAAGATCGGATCCATGACATGTGGGGTGTTTGACCAATACGCGGGGGCTTGTGAGGAGGAAACGCGAGAAAACGCGACGTCATGTGACACTTCCGCTCTACATTTGAGGAAGTCGACTCTTTGAACAATTGATAAATTGGAAGTTGCTATCTGTTTCTCAGTTGTGGAATTGGTAATTCAGATGCGAGATGGCATTGAGGGGGTAATTATGAAACAGCGAGCCTCGAAAGACCTCTGCTGAGTGGATTGTTACGGGCAGAATGGTGAGAGGATTTGTCTAGCCTTCTGGCATATAAACTTCCTATATTTCTGTTTTTGACTTGCTCGGCTTCATGGTACTTCGTCATGGCATTTTAGTAGACCAAAGTGTAGGTCACTGCTCTTCGTTTTCACTGTCTACATTATAGGAAGAACAACATGTATGAATCTCTAGTGTAATAGCTTCCAAACGGATAAGCCTTATGCTAACGAAAATCGTTATTCATACATAATTAGGGCCATGCTTCGACCAGACCTTTTGTTATGCAAGATTGACGGCCCCTCTGCCCAACTCCGCCATGAAATTACCGAGATTGGAAGGTGATGCTTCGAATTCCACTCGATCCAAAGAAATAGACGAA